CCATATAGAGCTACCATACTCCCAAAATAAGAATTAAAGGAAAACATTAACTATCCATTGTTGCTATTGTCCAGTTGATTCTTCAGCTATAATCTGGATGCAGTAGATTGCCAGGTTGTCTTCCTAAAGAGCAACAGGCGGGTTTAAACTGCTGACTTTTTGGTTAGCAGTCCAGTGCTTATCCTACAGCACACAACATGGCTCCTAGTCTCATTTTCATTATGGTGCCTTAAAAAAAAAGTCGAATTAAAACAGTGGCTTCTGAGCATCTGCCAGGCCAGTTAAATTCAAGGCAGATAGGTCAACTCAGAAGACTATGGAGTTTATTTTGTGGGACACCAAAGGGTTAATCTTGATAGATTTTCTTGAGTTGGAACTAACTCTGTGGCATGTAACCATCAACAATCAATCATACTACTTAAAAGGAGTCCTGGAAGCACGCTGGTAGTAGGTCAGCAGTTTGAATATATCAGCTGTTCCTGGGGAGAAAGATGAGACTTTCTGCTCCCATAAAGAATTACAGCCTCGGAGACCCTAACCCTATACAGGGTCGCTAAGACTTGGAACTGACTCAAATAGCAAACCACCACCACCACCACCATACCATCTAAGGGGAGTACTGGTGGTTCTACAGGATAAGCTTTGGACTGCTAATCACAAGGTTGGCAGTTCAAACCCACCAACCACTCCTTAGAAGAAAGATGAGGCTTTCTGCTCCTGTAAAATTTCTAACCATGTGTGGTACAATAAACTATTTTACATGACTCTTATAGACATAGTCTTTGTAACTACTAGCGAACGATTTTTTTTCCTGCCGGGTCTGGGTCAGAGAAGGTAGGGGAGGAGGAATGCTGATACATTTTATCATTCAGCTGTGAGTGACTGTTAAGAGGCTTCATTGTGAAAACTTGGAACCCTACTGTGGGCATAAAATGAGCCATCTCAGAAGCAGGACTGGGGATCTTATTGCCATGGAGGCAGAAGAGCCAGGAGTGGAGCATGTGCTTCAGACCCTGTGCACTGAACCTCGCTGATCCAGGAGCAGGGCTGTGACACCAGAGGAGTGTTGTCCGAGGAGCAGCAGCAGAACTAAGAACCAGAGCACCAGACAAGACTGCTGGACTTCTTGTCCCATGGAACAAGCACAGCTGAGTGTCTTTGGGCAGGAGGTTTGTTTGCTGAGTGGGGTGCCTCCAGACATTTAATTACGTTTGACTCCTGGAGCCAGAGTTGAGTGTCTTCTGGTTTAGGCTAATAGGGAATGCAGTGTCTTTTGGGCATTCAGCAGCAACCCTAAAAGAGCAGCCCTAAAACTGTCCAAGCAGGGCAGAAGCCAGGCCAAGGGTGGAGGGCCAGAGAGAGTCTGTCCTGACCAGAAAACTGTATTGAGCATTTCAGATTCTGCATTGTATTATAACCTGTTAACTTCTCTAATAAACTCCATTACTATGAGTATGGTGTCTGAGTTCTCTGTGGTCATTGCACAAACTTTCTAACCTGGCTAAGAAGTAGAGTGCCCTGGGAGGGATATTTGGTGCCATTTTTTTAAACCATGTATAAGTATTAATTTTATCTTTACAAAACGGCCATCTAATTGATGGAATTATAGCCAGTCTGATTTTTAATTTATTATTTGCTGTATTAAAAATACTAACTTCGTAGGGGCCATGTTAATGCTTTATTCCTTTTATTGTCAACGATATAGTACCACTTTGTATGTTGTTGTTAAGTGCCATCAAGTCAATTCTGACTCATAGCACCTTGCATAGGGTTCCCGAGGAGCAGCTGGTGGGTTTGAATTGCCGACCTTGTGGTTCACAGTCCAATGCTGATACTATAGCACCACACCAGGAGTTCTTTTGTATGTAGAGATGTTCAATAAACTTATGCTGCATTGTGGGGGGGGGGTGGGGGGGGGGGGGGAGAAGGCTAATAAGTGCTACTTAAAATATTTAAAAAGTAACTATAAACAAGCCAAACAGCTGAGTCCACTCTCTGAAGCAATCCTGAGTAAGGACCAGAGTTTAAACTGGAAGAAAATGAGGTCATCTGCTCCCATAAAGATTTAGAGTCCTGGAAGCCCTATGCAGGGTTACTACAAGTTGGAATCGACTTGATGGCAGTGGATTTGTTATTTTGGGGGGGGAAAGAGAATGAAAATAGCTTATCTACAATTTGTGGCCATAAAAATGCAATTTAATCTATAGAGTTTTGCTATTAACAGATCCACTATGTACCAGAAATCATTTCCCATAAGAGATTTAGAAAATGCCCAAGAGTTTGTGTGATCCATCCTCCCTAACCCCAGTGTACCAATTATAATTACTGCTGCTTTGCTCCAAATTCACCCTTGTTTGTTCCTGTTATGGTTCATGGAGCTGGGCCTTAGTAACATTTCTGCTTTTCCAGTTGGTATGGCTTTTAGCTTGGTTAGTGAAGGATGCTGAAAGGGCACTGTAGGAGAAAATGGCCTCTATTCCTGGTCTTGGTGTCCTTTGTCCTTCTTGTTTCTGTAGCATATGATTGCTTGAGGTGTGGGTATGGAACACCCAGAGGGGCAAATTTCATTGGCTTCTCATCAAGTTGCACTGGCAACCTAGAGAGCTTCCGTGGAATCCTACTGCGTAGATTCCCAGAAAATCTTGCAAAAATCCTAGTGAATGGTGTGGGTTTCCTGTTTGCCAGTCTTGGTCTCCAGCACCTCAGCAAACTATTACCTCATCCAGTGTTACAGCAACATTCTAAATGAAGTCTGAATCTCAGTCTCGATGAGAAGGGACCCTCTTCCAAGTATGTTCCTTTCTTGACTACTTTGGCTAAACTCTAGAGGTATTAGTTGCATCTTAATATGCCATTTCTATTTTCTCTAGAGTTTTTGTTTTTTTTACCTCTTAGTAGTTAATTCTATTTAGAAAAAACAAACCACTAGTTGCTGAAGAGTCAATTCTAGCTCTAGCTCACGGCAACTCCCCGCTCACCCCCCCCATGCCTGTCAGAGTCAAATTGTGCTCCAGTGGCTCATTTTTCAGAAGCAGATAGCTGGACCTTGAACCACAAACCTTTTGGTTAACAGTCAAGTACATTAACCATTTTACCACTCAAGGACTAATTCTCTGTTATTACTTATAAATATTTCTTATATTAAATTTTTCCTGTTCTTATTACTGGTATGATGTCTGGTTCCTTACTATACATTGACAGGCTTATAACCAAACCAAATCAACAATAAAGAATCAAATCAAATATTTCATAAGGTGGTTCTGCTGTCATAATCAAATCCTCACCAAAATACAATATTAAATGCTTCAGCTTCTAAAGAAGCCAATCATAAATAAGCAATTTGTGTTACCTGAACAATTAAGTTTCTCTGTCTTGCTTCCATGTGACTTCTAGGTTTAAAAGGTATCTTACAAGCTTAAAGTAGAAATATTTTAAAATGTCATTTTCTTTAACAAATGACCATATGAAGGAACTAGTTTTCAGTCTACAAATTCCCACGGTAGCTTAGAACTCAAAAGAATCTAATCTGTTATTTTAACACTGTTTTCTCCACGCTGGCAGAGGAATGAGAGAAAGAACTATGGAGTTCAAAGAAGTACAGTGTGTATGGGGTGAAAGAAAGCTGGACTGGGTCGAAGCTGTGCTTAGTATCAGAGATCTGGTCAGTTGTCCCTATTGTCCACTCCCACAGTTCATTTGTTCAGTAGTGTGATGATTTGCTTTTGATGATTTCTGAGCATGCTTGGTCAGATTTACCAGTCTTGGAGGCATGAACCTCATACATTCCATTCTGTGTTTTAGAAGAACATGAGATGGGAAATAGGAAGAGACAAGAATGAGCAGTGACTTAGAAGAAGAGAGAGAACTCTTGATTATGGAAAACCTTTGGGTTACATCTTTAATGTGGGGACTATGGACAGATTATTTGAAGTAGATTACAAACAAGGCTGTTTTACAAATATTAACTGGGTGCCTACTAGATGCTGAAAGGTACCTAGGCCTTAGCTGTTAGGAATGGTAGATGAAAAACAAGGATGAGCAGAACAAGACAGTGAGATTTTACTGTCAATATTTCAGGGCATGATTACTTTATGACTAGACACATCATCTGGTATCAAGTTCATACGAAAATGGATCTGGGAAGAATGAATAAGCTCTCCTGACTCAGAACACAAGAAGCATGTGGCAGTTTGAATCAGGAGCCTTTCATTACCACTTCCTTGAATTCCTGGGTCTTCTGAAAGCTGACTGTGCACGTTGCTAAACAGTGAGTGAGCCTAGTTGCTTCAGGTTTATTATTTCCTATTGCCTAGTTCAGAAGAACACAGTAAATGCATTGTTCAGAGTGTGGTTATCTAATTCCTTATAAGCCTCTCACAGGAAAAGTGAGAATAAGGAGAATTTACTAGATTCCTTTGCCAAAGGAACTAATCTATTTACAAAAAGGCATGAGTAGAAGAACTATAATAAATGGCAGAATTTACAAAGTCATCTTGAACATTCCACAGAATTCTCATAAGGTTTGCAGAAATTGCCAGTGAAATTAAACTCTTACAAATATGTCTAATTTCTGTCCCCATTGAGTCAACTCATTCATTCAACAAGTATTTACTGAGTGACAATGGGATATACCAGTGAATAAGGCAGACAAGCTCTCAGCCTTGTGGAATTTACTTTTTGATTGGGGGGAGGGAAAGGAGGAGCAAGACACACATGTAAATTAACCAGCATGGAATATCATTTCAAGTTCTATGAAATGCTATGAAAGAAAATAAACCAAGGAAGACATGAAATGGGTGAGGGATTAATTTTACATGATTTAGTGTTCTATATTATACTCATATTTCCTATACATAGTATGCAGTAAATGACATAAAATATAACCACAGCTGTGTCAAGCAAGTATGTGAAAGACAAGATTCATGAGGTTCCAAGATAAATCAAACTGAATAAATTTATATATATCATAATGAACTTATATATAAACCAATAAAACTTACCCTATAGAAAGCACTGGTCAAAGGGAGCAATGCAGCAGCAATGTTATATTCTTCCAAACTTGAACAATCCTTACACAAAATAAAGACAAAGGAGCATTATTAGGACATTAGAAAGTACAAACATATGGAAACCCAAATTTATAATTCATTTTTTATGGTCCTGCAGGATTTTTACTTTTACTCTAAATTGTCACTAAAGTGTAGTTAGGTTAAGTCTGAATCAAAGAATACTGTCCTTGAAACACATTCTTTAAGAAATGACGTAAAAATATATTCAGGAAATTAATCTTTATCATATACTACTAATAAGCAGATACCTCTACTTTGCTTTTCTACACAGGTAACTCATACACAGCTTTTTATTTTTTGGAGAAAGAGTTTTTGTATACTTAACATTAAATTGAGTTTAAGATACATATTTTAATATCTCTGAAATTTGTGTGCATCATATAATGGGTAACATGTTACAATTATGACTGGCAGAATTTTTCCTTCCTTGTTATTGTTAAGTGCCGTCGAGTCGATTCCAACCCATAGCAATCCTGTATAGGGTTTCCAAGGAGCAGCTGGTGAGCTTGAACCACTGACCTTGCAGTTCAAATCACTTTACAGTCTGACGCATTAGCGTCCAGTGCCATACCAGGACTCCCTTTAGTGGTACATAAACAGAGCTCTGCTATAGTAGTGGTTATGAGTCAAGCTGCTAACCTCAAGGACAGGAGTTCAAAATGACCAACAAGATTTACTGCCTCAGCTGTCTTTTGAATCTTGGTTTCCCTGGCATACCATTATAAAATAGATACTTGAGGGGGAGAGGAAGGAATAGCCAGAAATATCACCATAGAAAGCTTGTAAATCTGTATTTTGCCTATAATGGATTGGAATACCTAAAATGGGGATACAATGTGCCCAGTGAAGGTTTCCTGTGGAGCCTCTGCATTACATAAGACCATAGGTGGAATCCTGAACCTCACCCAGAATCTTCTGAGGTGGGAAATTTCCACTTGAAAGGACAAGCAGACCAGCCTGAAGCAACTAGAAGAAAAGAATATACTTCTTGAAAGAAAGACCCACAGGAAAAATACAAAATAATAATGGCAGTCCAACTGATTACAAGAACAAGCAAGTTGCTCGCCCAGGAGACATCAAGGCAAGTGGTCGGGTCCCCTCAGGGCAAACCGCCTTCCAAGACTCAATGGGAAAACACGAGTAGACATACGCTCTGACTGGTGACCACATTGGTCATCGATAAGGGGAAGTGAGGGAAAAACAGTACGGAAGTTGCGAGTTAAAGTCCTACAACATTCAGTAGACTCCTGTGAACTGGGTTGGAGACCTGGTTGGCCAGCAGTGTGGTAAGACCTGGGGACTCCTGGGCCCAGAGTCAGTGACATAGCCACAAGAGGACTAGAATAGAGAGTGAAGTGTCCAGCTGATAAGAAGAGAGGACAAATGCATAACAACATCACACTTGCGGATAATGCCCACTCGACCCGGCTTTAATGACTTGATGATCAGAGCTCAATTAGAAGAAGGATACAAGTTTTTTTGCACTTTCAGAACTAATATTGGAGTGTGAGAGGGAAAAGAAGAGAAGGAATAGACTTGAACAGGAGAGAAGTTGTGAAGTGTCATTGAGTAGGTTCTGACTCATAGTGGCCCAGTATAGGATTTCCAAAGAGCAGCTGGTGGGTTAAAACAGGCAATCTTGTGGTTATCAGTCCAGTGCTTACCCTACAGTACCACACCACAGAAGCTGTAGAGAAAGTCTGGTAGCATGGTAGGTTAGGTATTGGATTGCACACCAAAAGGTCAGCAGTTTGAATCTACCAACTGCTCCTTGGAAGGAAGATAATGGCAGTCTGCTTCTGTAAAGATCTCTAGCCTTGGAAACCCTGTGGAGCATTTCTATTCCATTCTAAGGGTTGGCTATGTGTCCGAATTAACTGATGGCAGTGGGTTTGGTCTTATGTACAATCTTGGTGTGGTGCTACAGGTTAATGCGCTGGACTGCAAAGTCCATTTGAACCACAGGGTTGGTGGTTCAAGCTCACCAACTGCTCCCTGGAGACCCTATACAGGGTCACTGTGAGTCAGAAATGATTCGACGACACTCTAACAACAACAACAAAGCTGTATGAGTTGTCAGGAATAAGGGTTCTAGAAAAAAGGAAGATGAGCCAGAAGACAAAGGGAAAGAGAACACATATAACCTGATCTATTTCAAAACACAACTAAGGATTGGGAGGTGAGTAGCTTGCTTAAGGGAGTAGGTTAAGTGCTGCCCTGAGGGGAAAAAAGAAGAAACTCTCACAAGTCATGGTCCAAAAGGAGCCAACTCAAAAGTCAGTTTTATCTCACAAGAGAACATTTGGTACTATAATCTGTTGAAATTTATATATTGTCATCTCTGAAAAACATAGTTGTAGAATGCAATGAATGTTCAACTCCAGGGAGTTCTAAAACAATAAACAACACAAGTCATTTCTACTCCAAAAATAAATTTCTAAACTTTAACATCTACTGACAGATCATTCTACAAGTGTGGAGTTAACCACATGCCAAAATCAATTCAAATTAATAAATATATAGAACATGTAAGGCACAGTACTTGGCCTATTTACTTCTTTGGCAAGACAAAAAAAAAAAAAAAAAAGCATAGTTAAATATTTTCATTTCATAAAACTATATTTATATAAGATTATACCATTCCAATTTTTCAAGTACTCTTCTATTAACAATGTCTAAAAAAAGTTAAAATGGACTGTTTTAAGTATTCTGAGGAAATCCTTTTAAGAGAACCAAGGTATGGGGAAAAGGACAGTGTGGAATATAGATGAATTTGCTAAGGAGCTCTGGTAGCGTAGTGGTTACGAATCGGGCTGCGAACCTTAAGGTCAGCGGTTCGAAACTACCAGCCGCTCCGCGGGAGAAAGATGAGGCTTTCTACTCCCGTAAAGATTTACACCCTCTGAAACCCTGTACAGGGTCGCTATGGGTCGGACCCGACTCGATGGCACTTAACAACAACAACAATCTGGTCTGCTTTCTGCAATTCACACTGCTCCTCATCTTGCCCCAAACACTTATTAGAGAAATTTCTTAGATAAAGGTTATGTTTGTCTTGTTAGAGTTTCTCTCCTATTATAGAAAACTGAAGAATTCCTGGGACAGATGTTAAAATATTTCTTTAGGGAACAGAGGATGGTAGAGGGGACATTTTTTCCCATGCTACTGGTATTCATTTTCTATTTAATCCCAAATAGAAATGTAAGCTCTCTTACAAGTTAGCACATAAAAGCATTGTTTCACAGATAACAAGGAATGGGTTACAATGTGATAAAAATATGAGAAAGTGTTGAGCTTTCTAAGTTGGAAACAGGGCAAAGAAACTTGAAAGGGTGAACCGAATCTAAACGAGGACAGGAAGTCTCAGTTTTAGACTTACCGTGCTGTAAATCACTGACAAAAAGGAGTCCTGGTAGTGTAATGGATTACGACCTGGGCTGAAAATCACATGGTCAGCCGTTCAAATTCACTTAGGGAGAAAGAGGAGGCTTTCTGCTCCCATACAGATTTACAACCCTAGAAGCTCTATACAGGGTTGTGAGTCGGAACCCATTTGGTGGCCACCACCATCACCAAGTCACTGACTCGACCAGAATTCTGAAACTTCCTTCAGTCCTTCAGAGTCTAGTCACTAAGAAATCATTTCAACTTTATGAAATGAATGAAAGCTACCACTATCAATTAATTTTATATCATGGTTTACATAATCTAAGAATAAAAATCCAAAAGCACTTTAAGGATTTCTGGGCACATCTAAGAAATTTTATTTTCCTCTTCCCAATTTCTAAAAGAAAACCTAAACATAGAAAATATCTGCATTAACTTTATTTCAGGAAGAGGAAAAGTCAAATGCTAAAAATAGCAAGATATTGTGAATGTTTATGTTGCATTTAGGGCAAGATTAAGTGATACCAAAAACTATATGGCAAATCACTCCTTAAAGAAATGTGGCTTACATGCAACTTCTGAAAATATTAAAGGACATTTCTGACCCCACAAATATGAGTACAAATTCCTAAGTCAGAGATGGAAGAGTAAAAGAAGTATGTAAGACTTAGAAAGGAGGCTGCATGTGGACACCTTTGACAACTGAATGTAGATGAAATTTCAGGGCAGCAATGGTTGTGGGAGAGTCCTGGTGTGGTGCTGTGGGCTAATGTGCTGGACTGTAAGGTTGGTTTGAGCTTCGGGGTCAGTGGTTTAAACTCACCAACTGCTCCTCAGAAACTCTATACAGGGTTGCTATGGGTTGGAACTGACTCGATGGCACTTAACAACAATAACAACATGGTTGTGAGGACTTGGGGATCTGGTGAGAAGAAAGATCATGGATGTTGCTCTAAAAAGGCATTTTTTTTTTTTGAGGTGACATTTGACAATTAGCTGCCATTATGAAGTTAAGCCTGAAGGCTCAGCAATACGGGTGTTATTAAGCAGTGATCTGCAGCAGAGGTTGCATCATTGGTTACAGTTATGGAAAGACCTTTATAAACAGGAGTGGCTCTTCATTGAGAGCCCAGGGCCTAAGTGGCTATCCCCAGAATCGAGCAAGCAATGGTGAGTAATGTTATGTTTGGGTGTGCATTTCCCTCAAGGGAATAGGACTTTTCTTATACTCTACCATACTTGCTTAAGTTACTGGATACAGCGATCCTACCTGAAACAGAAAACAACTGTACAGAGAAAAAGCTTCCTATACATGGAAGATAGCACAAGCATGTTCAGGGTACAAAGGTCTCCAAAGTGTTCATGGAAATGCCTATTATGAAAATGCTATGCATGGATTTCAGGGGTTTTTGCACCAAAATAAACTGATACTCACCTGTTATAACATGTCTGAACAGTCTGAGGCACTAAGGAGTACACGACATCACTTTGAAAAGACTCCCTAACCGAGCAGTCTGAACTCTGCTCAACTTGAAGCAAGAACTAACACCAAATTTATGGTGAGGCTTGAGTAGAAGAATGTTGAAATCATGATGCTTTATTAACTGTTTATG